CCCCAAAGATGTGCATCTGTGTGCGGGAGTACGTCTCCGAATAGTTCCTGGGTGCTCGCCGGCCGGAGATGTCACCGAATATCTTCTGCCGATCGAGGACAGACCGCCGCTGTGAGAGTCGCATTGTGTGGCGTGTGGGGCTCAATGTGACATATCGTGCGTAAAATTTTGGCGCGTGCTCTGTCCAGTTTATTTGACCGCACTGGGAGCGAATTACTGTCTCAGTGACAGGTTCATTGTGTTTGAGCTCTAATATTGACTCATGTTATTTACGACTAGATCTATTCTTTTATATCGAGTGGTTATACTAATGGTTACTCTATAGCAACCCCCATCTCACCCCACTCCTAAAAGTTGAGGGTTTTTTTTTTTTTAAACACACAGAAAGGGGAGCTTTAAAAGCAAGTGCAAAATACCTCAACTCATCCACATTTCCAACTAAGCGAATAGAGTAATGCTCAGAAATAAGAAAAACAAAAACAAAACGTTCCAAACACAAAACAGAACAAACGAAATCCAGTGAACTTCTAAAATGTGTTAAAGGCTTTCCTTCCCGGATACTACCCGAAATTGTGAAATCAATGAAAATGGGGGGAAATTTAGACATTTCACTGCACTATGCCGACTGGGGAACACAGAACTAACATTAATAATCCTGGGATCGAACCTCTAAAGACAGCTTCTAAAGTCATTCTTAACAACAGGAACAACATCCCATCCTGGTCAAGCTCGCTATTTTTTTCCAGAGACTATCTGGCTGGGTATTCCAGTGTCTGGTTATAAACTGCCGAAGCTGGGACCTAAACGACCTGGCTACAGACCTAAAAGTACACCACTATCTACCTGGAATAAAATAATTGCAGCATTCAAGGCGGCAATAAAAAGGCGGACACTGGTGTCTGTGGTGCGACGGTAATGCGCTTCGCTGTCGCACTCGGGAGACACGAGTTCTATTCCCATGTGGGAAGAATCTATACCGCAGCGAATATCGCCGTCTTTCTGCTGGGACGTAATGACCTTCTAAACGTGGGTTGACAATGACAGACAGGTTCGAAGCAGCCCGTCTCTTGATTAATAAATGATCTAAATTCTAAATAGTGCCGATTGGAGTGTAAAACGTACAGTTATCTATCGTTCATTGTTATTATTATTATCATTATTATTATTATTATTATTATTATTATTATTATTATTATTATTATTGTTGTTGTTGTTGTTGTTATTATATTGTTATTATTATTATTAATATTACAATTATTATTTCTATATATCATATTTTTTGTAAAGGGGCGGACAACCTGGTAAAAAGTGGGAATCGGGAGGAGACCTCAAAACTGCGATGATGTTAACTGCGTCTGGAGTCCAGATCGTTTCGTCTCTTGGTATAAAATGACTTGGGGGGGGGGGGGGGGTATAAAATGACAGGGTTTTTTTCTTTTTGGTAAGTGTTTTACGGCCCTCCCAACTGCGTAATACCACATGAGTGCGCGGACGCATTAACGTTTTCAGTTGGTAGGAAATTTGGAATTTAGCCCGGGTGGCGGGTGAAGCCTACTCTTATCGATTTTGGACCCCCAAGGGATCTTTAACGTGCACATCTTGCACGCGGGACC